CTTTGGTTCCAAGAGAAGTTAGTGAGGATCAACTAAAAATGAGAAATAAAAGAAAAAGAGAGAGAAAAGAGAAAAGAAAAAGAGAGTGAAAAGAAAAAGGAAAAAGAGGAAGAAAAAGAGAAAGAGAAAAAAAAAATCAAGTCTGTTTATAAAAGAAAAAGAAGTTAAAAAAGCTATGCAATTGAGAAAGCCAATACTTTTACTTTTGAGTAAATAAAGTAAATCAAACAGTCCATGTTTTACTAACTCTCTTCCAAAAGAGGTTTATTCTTTGTTGCAGGATTTTGAAGATGTTTTTCCCAATGAAGTGCCTATAGGTCTACCCCCTCTTAGGGGTATTGAGCATCAAATTGACCTTATTTCAGGAGCTTCATTGCCTAATAGACCAGCCTATCGAAGCAATCCCCAAGAAACCAAGGAGATTCAAAAGCAAGTTGAAGACTTAATGCAAAAGGGGTGGGTTAAAGAAAGCTTGAGTCCATGTGCAGTTCCAGTCATTCTAGTCCCTAAGAAAGATGGAACTTGGAGGATGTGCATAGATTGTAGAGCTATCAATAACATCACGGTAAAGTATATACATCCCATTCCTAGGTTAAATGACTTGTTGGATGAATTGTATGGTGCTTGTATCTTCTCTAAAATTGACTTGAAAAGTGGATATCATCAAATTAGAATTAGAGAAGGAGATGAGTGGAAAACAACTTTTAAAACTAAATATGGGTTGTATGAGTGGCTAGTTATGCCCTTTGGGTTAACTAATGCTCCAAGCACTTTTATGAGATTGATGAACCATGTCTTGAAAGAGTTTTTAGGCAAATGTGTAGTGGTGTATTTTGATGATATTCTGATATATAGCACTAATTTTGATTTGCATGTTGAACATTTGCGTGCTGTCATGAATGTGCTTAGAAAGGAAAAATTATTTGCTAATCTTGAAAAATGTACCTTTTGCACTGATCATGTTGTATTCTTGGGATTTGTTATGAGTTCTAAAGGGATACAAGTTGATGAGGAAAAGATTAGAGTCATCCAAGAGTGGCCTACCCCTAAGAATGTGGGTGAAGTGAGAAGCTTTCATGGGTTAGCTAGTTTCTATAGGAGGTTTGTTAAAGACTTTAGTACTTTGGTTGCACCTCTTAATGAAATAGTCAAAAATCATGTTGGGTTTAAATGGGGTGAAAAACAAGAAAAGACATTTTCTGAACTTAAGCATAAACTATCTAATGCCCCCATCCTTGCATTACCAAATTTTGCAAAATCTTTTGAAATTGAATGTGATGCATCTAATGTGGGTATTGGGGCTGTTTTGCTACAAGAAGGTCATCCAATTGCTTATTTTAGTGAGAAGTTGAATGGGGGTGCCCTAAACTATCCCACCTATGATAAGGAATTGTATGCCTTAGTGCGTGCTTTACAAACTTGGCAGCATTACCTTTTACCAAAAGAGTTTGTAATTCATAATGATCATGAATCTTTGAAATACTTAAAGGGACAAGGTAAGTTAAACAAGAGGCATGTCAAATGGGTTGAGTTCTTGGAGCAATTTCCATATGTCACCAAGCATAAAAAGGGAAAAGGGAATGTAGTAGCTGATGCATTTTCTAGGAGACATGCATTACTTTCTATGCTTGAAACTAAATTGTTTGGTCTTGAATCTTTGAAAGACATGTATGTGAATGATGTGGATTTTGTTGAAACTTTTGTTGCATGTGAAAGGTTTTCTAAAAATGGTTACTTTAGGTATAATGGATTTTTGTTTAAAGCAAATAAATTGTGTGTGCCTAAGTGTTCCATTAGAGAGTTGCTTGTGAGTGAATCACATGAAGGGGGTTTGATGGGTCATTTTGGGGTTCAAAAGACTTTAGAAATTTTGCAAGAGCATTTCTTTTGGCCTCATATGAAACGTGATGTGAATAAGTTTTGTGATCACTGCATTGTGTGTAAAAAGGCTAAATCTAAGGTTAAGCCTCATGGGTTATATACTCCTTTACCTGTTCCTGAATATCCTTGGACTGACGTGTCTATAGACTTTATTTTAGGGCTGCCTAAAACAAAGAATGGAAAGGATTCTGTGTTTGTCGTTGTTGATAGGTTTTCTAAGATGACACATTTCATACCTTGCAAGAAGGTAGATGATGCTTGTCATGTGGCTGATTTTTTTTTTTCAAGGAAGTAATAAGACTAGATGGGCTGCCGAGGAGCATTGTGAGTGATAGGGATTCAAAATTCCTTAGTCACTTTTGGAGGACCTTGTGGGGTAAGATTGATACTAAATTATTGTTTTCTACTACTTGTCATCCACAAACTGATGGTCAAACTGAGGTAGTCAACAAGACTTTAGGCACATTGCTTAGGACTATTTTAAAGAAAAATCTTAAGACTTGGGAAGCATGTTTATCGCATGTTGAGTTTGCTTATAATAGGGTTATCCATAGCACCACTAATTGTTCACCATTTGAGATTGTGTATGGATTTAATCCTTTGACTCCTCTTGATTTGTTGCTTTTGCCTAACATTTCTATGTTTAAGCATAAGGAAGCACAGGCTAAAGTAGAATATGTGAAGAAGTTGCATGAGCAAGTAAAAGCTCAAATTGAAAAGAAGAATGAGAGCTACGCGAGACAAACTAACAAGGGTAGGAAAAAGGTGGTGTTCCAACCTGGTGATTGGGTTTGGGTACACATGAGAAAGGAAATGTTTCTTGAACAAAGAAAGTCTAAACTTCAACCTAAAGGAGATGGGTTATTCTAAGTCTTAGAGAAGATCAATGATAATGCTTATAAGATTGATCTACCAGGAGAGTATAATGTAAGTTCCTCTTTTAATGTTGCTGACTTGACTCCTTTTGATGCAGGAGATGAATTCATAGATTTGAGGACAAATGCCGCCCAAGAAGGAGGGAATGATGTGGACATAAAGGCCCAAGCCCATAACGAGAAGAATCAAGACCAAGATCCAATCCAAGACTTAGGTGGACCTATGACAAGAGACAGACTCAGAAAAACACAAGAGGCATTGCAATACAAAGTGACCAATTTGTTAAAGGCCCAACTATTAAAAGATCCAAATATGGAGGAGTCTAGACCTATCACATGCATAGAATGTTTGGATCTTTTAATAGTTGAGCCTTTAACAAATTGGTCACTTTGTATTGCAATGCCTCTTGTGTTTTTCTGAGTCTGCCTCTTATCATAGGTCCACCTAAGTCTTGGATTGGATCTTGGTCTTGATTCTTCTCGTTATGGGTTTGGGCCTTTATGTCCACATCATTGCCCAATACAGATTTTTTATGTAGATGACGAATCCGATTTGAGGACAAATCTTTTTCAAGAGGGAAAGAATGATGTGAACATGACCTATGATAAGGGCTAGAGCAAGGAAAACAAAAGAAGTTTTTCAACAAGTATTGTTGACTTTATGTATCTTGGGGTTTAGGGTTACCTTTGTACGTTCTAATCTCAGTTCTTCCATATTTTCTGATATCACTAAGAATTCAGTAAGATTCTTGCAATAATCAAGGTCGAGATAACTGCGACTGCATAAAGGAGAATTGCTTGTGAGTATGGTAAGGGACTGGCAACCCCAAAGGTCCAACTTCTCCCGTTTGGTTAGAGAAAAAATAGATGGATGCACACAAGTCAACACAGAACAAACCCCAAGATACAACACTTCAAGATCAGTATTGTCCTCAAATCGGATCCGTCATCTACATAAAGGCTTGGGCCTTTATGTATCAAAAGCCACAAATCTTGAAGTATGTGTGATACTTGTGTTTGTCTTCTTATAATGTATTAGTAATAGCTGGACATGGGGTTCAGTCCCTTGACTCTGATACAACTAAATATTCGTGTTGAATCCATATGCTATGTACTTTCCTCCTTTATGTTGTGTCTGAAATGGAGGATTGTGTTATTCTAAGAAAAATCCCAAGAATGCTGAAGACCATGTTATATTTGAGTATGTAGAAAGGAAATGAAAACATTTGTTGCAATGTGATGTGCACCTTACATTTATGAGGTTATAAGCCATTGTTATTGAATAACCAATGTTATGGAAAACTCCTGATCGAACATAGCAAAATGAAAAACAAAAATGTGAGCATTTGGTAACTCTAAGATTCTACATGTGAATATCATAAGTCAAGCAACATCTTATCTTCCAATGAATAAGAAAAATCAAGGTCAAGTCTCAACAAACTATAATATGATGACCCTGCCATAAGTCAAAGGCCTGCATATTATTAAAATTTCTGTTTTGTAAATGAGTTTTCAGCATAGATTCCCCATTTGTAGATTCCCTATTTATAAATGTAAAAGTTTAAAGCACGTAAAGAAGTAAAAATGTTATGTTATAAAAATATGATAAAGTAAAAATTAATAAATTTAAAAAAGATATTTAATAAATATTTTGTAATGCATAAAAGTAACGCTTATAAATATATGAAAAAATTTGAAAAGAATAAAGTATTGTTAAAGAAATATTTTAAAACAGAAAAATTGAAAATAATGAAAAATTATAAAATGATTATATTTAAATAAAGAATTTTAAATAAGTAAAACTAATGTTTAAAAATGAATAAAAACTTGGAAATGATAAAAGATTTAAAAAAATATAGAAAAAGATGAAATTTAATAAAAAAATGGATATTTACAGAAAGAATGGTTATGAGTACATAAAAAAAGTTTGAAAAGGATAATTTAAAAAAAAGTTATAATATTTATAAGCAAGTAAATTTTGAAAATGCAATATTAAAAATATATTAAAAGGTATTTTAAAATTAACAATCTAAAAGAGTATTTTCAAATAGTAACACCTTGGTCTAATCTAATACAGATTTATAAGAACCGCCCATCAAAAGAGTGCTAACACATTACAAATTTAACTAAAATAAATAGTAAAAAATCAAGCCACAAAGAATTGCAGTCCCCTAATTTTTACTTGATTTCTTCATTGAATGGGTTACATCTGAGTCAGTTGCCTATAATAGATAACAGATCGATTTATATGGTATCCTCTTCTCTTATTCTGTATGGTGGAGGTAGCAAGCTGTGCATGTTAGCAAAAAGATCTCCACGACCATACTGTGGTTCCGCAACCGGTGAATCCAAGACCGAGTCAGGAATTGCTACAAGGGTTTCTTCAAAAAATGATTTAATTGTCTGCAACGTTAAAAATTCAGTTAGTGTTTGAAGCAATGCACACTGAAGTATAAAACGACAGTTACTGTATATATACAAAGGAGAGAGATGATTTAACATTATGCCACAAGATACTAATCAGATGACACAAAGTACCTTGCATGTAAGAGGGAAAGGACCTATCTATATTACTTACGTATACAAGTATACATCCATTACGGATCCAATTCTTTTGATTTGTTCTTGCCATTAACCTCATTCCACTAGCTCAGTATTTATAAAAATAATCTCTCTACACCTTTTCATTTTTATAATTTGTTTAAATTCATTCCTATCTAAATTCATCTCTAAATCTTTCAGTTGTAACTGATATCGAACAGAAGGATCTCCAACAGAATTTTGAACAAATATTTCGTTGAAAACATCAATAGAGAATAGTAGAGCACTGCATCACAGCTACAGGGGAAAAGGGTTACTTAATACAACATGGAAGGCTATGGACAAATCTGCCAATGGTGCATCACCTCCTATCGTAAGCACACAAATTTTTTATATATTAAATTAGTTTGATGTACCGACACATTATTTTCATATGTCAGTTCCGATATCCAAACCACATCCTAAGGTGTGCAATTTATAAAAAAATAAAATGCCGGATACAAATCAGACACAAGTCAATTTGTGGTTTCTTGAAATCAGATTCGTTTGAATATGCACATACTCAGACGGATTCAAACATAGAGAGAAACACTTGGAAAGCTCAGGAAGAGAGGTTGATTAGGGATCAACTTATTATATAATAGTGATAAATATATAAAACTATTTCATAAATGATAATTTTAAGAAAATAAAAATTATATTTTTTTCCACCAAAAAGGAATTTGCACATAAAAATAAGGATATGTTTAGAAATTATTTAGAAGTTTGCTTTTATATTTATTCAAGTTTAAGAAATATATTCTTAATTTTTTTATTATGTATCTTAAACGTATCTTTAATACATTTTTAAGAATTAGCATATTGTCATATCAAATACCTACCAATCTGTGCGTCAGCCTAGCTACACAATCGGGAAGTAATTTAGTTAAGACAGATAATCAGGTAGTATTGTCAGCAGATTTATTGCATGTTGCTTTTACAGTTTTAGTTAACACGCATATAGACATGACCTAGGAGCTAACTAATGACTTCCTAAATTATAAGCATTTATTTTTTTATAAGATAATTAACATATAACAATCTTTTTCATCCATGAATGGGAAGCAGGGAAAATAAAAGTAAATTAAGAATAGGGAAAATACTGTTTGAAGTTTGTTTGTCCTGGACATTAACTTCATCTAAATACAAAGTGAAATGTTCTAAGGACTCAAATAATTTGTTTTTTCATAGTAAATATACCGTGCAAGTTTGGACAGCTGAATCTACTTTGCGCTTCCATAGTCCATTCCCAGGCTCAGAATGAAAAAAGCCAAGTAAAGGCTGCAGCAAACATGACATTCATACAGTAACAGCAAATAATAAGAGGAGGTAAAAATAAAATACCATAGATAGATAAACAACTTGCTTCATGCGAATGAATGGATATGGCAGGTGGAAGAAAAAGTTAGGATAAACAATCCTCCGAAATCCCAATATAAAATAGAAATCCTAAACTGAGTCATGTCTTTTTAAACCATAATAAGAAATCAAAAACAGAAAAAAATAAGGGTTTAACTATAGTTACATTACATGTATTTATAAAAGAATATGGTTTTATTATGCCCCTATTTTAAATCAGTTTAAATAATAATACTATAGAGGAACTCTCATTACTTTAGAAATTTTATAAGCATGCAAAGCCACTAATGGGTTATATTTGTATGTTCCCACCTTCACAATATCTCGCACAGTTGGCCCAAGTCCATATTGACGTAACACTGAGTCCCCATATACTTGATATTTCTCAAGGACCTTTATGAAATAAGGAAAAAGAAATAAAACAAAAGTTATTCCGCTCAAGTTGTGCCAAAAGTGATGTCAGTAAAATATGCAGCTTAATTCATTCTAATTCAAAATTTCAGAGACTGAACCTGACGACGTGTAAGATCACTGCTTGGTGCACCATAAATTGCTGTATCAGCATGTCCCAAAATATGCCAAGGGCTGTTGAAATATCCATTTATGTAAGCCACTTTATGAAAGTTGAAACAACAGAAAAGGTATTATTAGAGAAGTGATCATTTCTAGAAGTCAACCTAACAATTTATGCTATTAGAAATTAGGATAAGTGGTTTTTGACATGATATCAGAACTGCACAACTCATCAAAAGAGGTATCCTTGTCACTCCCCATACTTCATTTTCATTACAATTAAATCTTCACAAAAGGTTGTTACATACCTCAATGGGGCTTGAATCAGTCAGCAACAAATAACAGTAATTTTTCTGGTTACAAGGGTGGTAGTTAGTCTGACAGCTGGTTTGTAAATTAGTAGGTTAGTTGGTCAGTGAGCTATCTAACATGTTTTAGTTTGTGGAATTAACCTGTCGGACAATGGAGCTCTAAATGCCTGGGCTCATGATTGCCCGTGCAGCATACAATAAGTGTCAATAAATAGACTAGGTTCTCATACTCCTGGCAACTTCCATTACGACATTCTTGCTTTTTACTAACTTTGGGTTCCACTGATCCAGATATTCAACAAAATTTCCTCTTTTTCTTTCTGTTAATTGTTGCTTTCTGAACATGCATCTATCAGTTGAGAAATCATATCTACCAACAGTACAATTGCATTAACTTCAATGCAAATTTGTAATAACATGTTTTTAATTATATAAACTTCTACAATCACAGCTTGTTCACCATGGAGAAAATTTCCAGTCAGACTAAACTAAAAGGGATATTCCAGGAACCATTTAAGATGAAAATGACTTCAAATTCTTGTCGAGCTTCAGTTTTAAAATAGATAATCTACATTTATTTTTCTAAAATCACATTGGCTATATTTTGAGGAGTTAGTCGAGGGATAAACTTATTCCCCTGTCATTGAATAGAAGACGGTGATGTTTGAAATCGTTTGAGAGTTCACACAATGCAGAAGGGGCAGGAGATGGACAATTTTGTATTTCAACTTACTTGTGGTATGCTGCACGTCCAACCATAACACCATGGGCCCCAGCCTTTAGAGCTCCATTGATCTATAGTTGAATTTCACAAACAAGCATGAGAACAATAAGCACCTTCATGAAGAAGCCAAATGATATCTTGAACAATATAATAATTATTGGCTTTTGTACATTGACGTACATGTTGAATTCAAAGAGACTTTAGTATGGTCTCAAATGGCCTTTTACTAATAGCAACTGGCCACCAGTAGAATTCAAGAAGGAATAGCACTGAACTTATACAAGATAGTGGCCATTATAGAGGATAATCAAACCAAAAAAGGAATACAACACATACACTCTATGCATCATGGATTTTTTTGTAATCACAAAGTACCCATCAAACTCAAAGGCAAGTTTTATAGTAATGTTATACATATGCCTATACTATATGCACTGAATGTTGGATTTTAAAAGAACGACATGAGAGAAAGATTGGAATAGTAAAAATGAGCATTTTCAAATGGATGTAAGCCACACAAAAAAGAACAAGATATGAAATGATTAGATGTTCTTGCCTAGCACCAACTAAAGAAAAGATGACAGAAAATTAATTAAAGTTATTTGGGTACATACAAAGGACTCGGGGTACTAGAGATAGATCTAGCCATAGATGGTGGTGTGTAATAAAGATGCATGCGATTCAAGGGGGCTTCTGATATAAGAAAAATCAACTATATCTAGTAAAACAATGGGACAGTTGAACATTGATGAGGTTGCCGATTGAAAAGAATAGCAATAGATGGTGATGGCATCAGAATTTTAAAGGTCTTGAGCAAATCCTAGATTATTTCTCATGTGGTCTGATTTGAACATGACCTATGATAAGGGCTAGAACAAGGGAAATAAAGGAAGTTCTTCAACAAATATTGTTGATTGACCAAATTATGTTTTGAATTAATCAATTAATGGGCTTTAGTTTGATTTTTGTTTTAAGTTGTAACAAGGGCCCAATTGAAAATTTAGTCATCAGCCTTTGGGAGACCAAGGGGTGCATAGCTAATTAACTTTTGGTTGCCACAGTTTCAGTCATTAAGTAGTTTCAATTCCTAGGTTAATGAATCATTATTAGCCTTTATTTGTTTTCATTAAATAGTTTTTAATTCCTAGATTAATGGATTATTATTAGTATTTATTTTCTTTTATTGAGTCTTTTGTAATTCTGATGGAAACACTTCTATATGAGCTGAACCATTTTTATCAAGAAATAACAAGTGGAATTTTATTCAGAAATATTAGAGTTTATCTCTTTTATCTTAGTGAGAGTGATTCTCCTAAATTCTTGAGTGATTCAAGAACCCTTGGCTGTATCAAAGGACTTTCACATCCTTTGTGTGTTGCCTTCCTTGGGAAGAGTGATTCTTTCCTTCCACCTTCTTTCTAATTCTTAAATTTCTTATAAGGTTCTAACCCTAAATATCCTAAATTACCCCTTGTGTAATTGAGATTCATATCATTTGGTATCAGAGCTCCGGTTTAAGGGTTTAAACATCAAATTGATGGCAGAAGAGGAAAATTACAATCAAGAAGTAGGAATTAGTCCATTTCAAATGAGAGTATTGATACAACATTTGGAAGGATTAATGATACGACATAACAATGAGCTCCATGAAAGATTGAACCGGTTGGAGAATAGAAATCTTGAAGACGAAGAAGAAAGGAGAAATAGGAGAATGAATGATGGAGTAGCAAGACCAAGTAGGCTTGAAGGAGTCAAGCTTAACATTCCTCCGTTCAAAGGAAAAAGTGATCCGGAGGCATACTTGGAGTGGGAGATGAAAATAGAGCATGTTTTCTCATGCAACAATTATGAGGAGACCCAAAAGATGAGACTTGCAACAACGGAATTTTCTGACTATGCTCTTGTTTGGTGGAACAAGCTACAAAAGGAGAGAGATAGAAATGAAGAGTCAATGGTTGATATATGGACTGAGATGAAAAGGATCATGAGGAAGCGGTATGTGCCGGCTAGTTATGCAAGGGACTTGAAATTTAAACTCCAAAAACTTACTCAAGGCAACAAGGAGGTTGAGGAGTATTTCAAAGAAATGGACATGCTCATGATTCAAGCAAAGATTGAAGAAGATGAAGAGGTAACTATGACCCGATTTATTGGTGGTTTGAATATTGATATATGTGATATTGTTGAGTTGCAGGAGTTTGTTGATATGGAGGATTTACTTCATAAAGCAATTCGAGTGGAGCAACAACTCAAAAGAAAAGAAGTGACTAAGAAGAGTTCTACCAACTTTGGATTTTCAAGTTGGAAGGACAAAGGCAAGAAAGATGGGACGGTTACTTCTAGTAGTTCCACACCTATTCCTACAAAGACTCATTCAAAATATAAAGAACAACCCTCTAAAAAAGTAGAGATGTGAAGTGATTTAAATGTCAAGGCCTAGGACACTATGTTTATGAGTGCCCTAACACAAAGACCATGGTTCTTAGAGAGGGAGAATATATAAGTGAATCTGAGGTTGAAGAGAGAGAAAAGAGTGAAGACATTGAGGAGGAGGAGATTCCAAAGGGAGATTTATTGATGATTAGGCGATTACTTGATAATCAATTGAAACCTATGGAAGAAAGCCAAAGAAAAAATATTTTTCACACTAGATGTTTAATCAATGACAAGGTGTGCATGATGATCATAGATAGAGGTAGTTGCACCAATGTGGCTAGTGCTAGATTAGTATCAAAGCTAAATTTAGCTACCAAACCACATCCTAGGCCATATAAACTTCAATGGCTTAGTAAGGATGGAGATGTGCAAGTGAGACAACAAGTTGAAGTGGACATTTCCATTGGAAAATACAATGATAAGGTGCTTTGTAATATTATTCCTATGGAAGTCAGTCACTTACTTTTGGGGAGACCATGACAATTTGATAAAAGAATTAATCATAACGGGTTCACCAACAAGATCTCTTTCATGCACCAAGACAAGAAGATTGTGCTCAAACTTTTGAGTTCACAAGAAGTGTGTGAGGATAAAAAGAAAATGAGAAAAAAAACTTCTTCAAGAAAAGAGAGTGAAAGAAAGCATTAGTGAAACACTTGAGAGGAAAAAGAGTGATCAAAAGAAAAGTGAAACACTTGAAGTGAGGAAGAACTATTTAACCATAAAAAGTGAGTATAATGTTCATTTTCCATTCAATTTGTCAGACTTATCTCTTTTTTATGTAGATGGCGAATTCAATTTGAGGACAAATCATTTTCAAGAGGGAGAGAATGATGTGAACATGACCTATGATAAGGACTATAGCAAGGGAAATAAAGGAAGCTCTTAAACAAATATTGTTGGTTGACCAAATTATGTTTTGAATTAATCAATTAATGGGCTTTAGTTTGATTTTTGTTTTAAGTTGTAATAAGGGCCCAATTGAAAATTTAGTCATCAGCCTTTGGGAGACCAAGGGGTGCATAGCTGATTGACTTTTAGTTGCCACAGTTTCAAATACAATCAGTCATTAAGTAGTTTCAATTCCTAGGTTAATGAATCATTATTAGCCTTTATTTGTTTTCATTAAATAGTTTTCAATTCCCAGATTAATGGGTTATTATTAGTATATATTTTCTTTTATTGAGTCTTTTGTAATTCTGATGGCAACGCTTCTATATGAGTTGAACCATTTTTATCAAGAAATAACAAGTGGAATTTTATTCAAAAATATTAGAGTTTATCTCTTTTATCTTAGTGAGAGTGATTCTCCTAAATTCTTGAGTGATTCAAGAACCCTTGGCTGTATCAAAGGACTTTCACATCCTTTGTGTGTTGCCTTCCTTGGGAAGAGTGATTTTTTCCTTCCACCTTCTTTCTAATTCCTAAATTTCTTACAAGGTTCTAACCCTAAAAATCCTAAATTACCCCTTGTGTAATTGAGATTCATATCATGGTGTCTCACAAGAAACTTGCTCATCCTCACAAAGCCTTTATCCAAGCTTTAATTCATCAATATCCAACACAAGCTCAAGGCAATTAGTCAATCAAACCCAAGTTTGGGAATGTGTTCTAGAATTACTAGTAAAGTTACTTGAGCCTATTTGATGTTAGTTAGGCAACAACTATCTCTGTAATGCATGTAAAGCAAGCTGCTACTAGTAATATAAACTAAAATGTACTAGTGTACTGTCATTGTAAAGTGATTGATTTGTCTATCCAAAACAGATATATGATCCAGAATTTTTCAATTTTTATTGAACGCAACACAATGGGAATTAAAAGTGGATAACTGTTAAAACACTACAATAAGTCTAGTTTATTTCACATGTAAGTACATAACATATAGCATGAATGCATGATACTAGTGATTGTAGATATTTGTGCACAATAGTGTCCATGCTTCATAAAAATGTGAGCTTTAAATACACACTGATGTGTTTTGAATGATCATAAAAGTGTAGGAAATTAATTTTGTAGCAGAAAATTTCTCTAAACTACCAATGAAATAGAATGAAGAATTAGATAACAACACACCTCATCAATGCTAGTAATACCACCATTGATTGTAAATGTTAAGTCAGGAAAGTCTCGTAAGAGGCCATAAAAGTATTCATATCTGCATTAAAAAATGTGCATCATCTCCAATTCTATTTTTGATGACTAAAAAAATTCATTTCTCCAGTAGTCTGGTACATACTTCAGTGGAGGAATACTCCGATTTTCTGCTGGGCTAAGGCCCCTGAGCAGTGCCTTCCTTGAGTGAATTATGAAATGCTTAGCAGGTGACAGAGAAGAAACCTTGTAAATGAAATCACCTGAGAGACAATAAAAGTGATGGTATAAAGGTTAATAATATGTAACCCCAACAAAAAATGCACAATTATTTTAAAGAAATTGTAACCTAATATACATTGTGGCTTATAAATCACATCAGGAACAATGTGCTTTAAGGACAATTATTTCACAAAATGTGACCATCTTATTGACCAGCAATCAAACTCAAAACACAGTAAAAATATATAACTACCATTCAACCCTGAGTTCCTAATAGGGGTTTCCCTGCTTCAAAAGTATAATGTGTTTCATCTAGATGGGTGCACATAACTAAAATGGTACAAAGTATTGGAGAACCCACATAGACTACAAATATGTGTAAAATATAGTCAATAAGTAGGATGCAACCCTCATATTCAAAACTAGTTTAGTAGGATTAAGTTTGATTCCTGCCAGTGATTCCTAATTGACGGTGGTGGGTCATTTGTAAGCACTACAAGCCCTATGGCCAAGGCTTGTGGTGTGCCTTGACCTTTAAATGGTGCAAGCTTTCTTCCTTAAGGATGAACACAATCAAAAAAGAATTTTAAATCATGTAAATGTGAATAGACAAAGAATGTTGTTGAAAAAGGACCTTACATAATTCATTGTAAGAATCATGATCATCCACACCAATTCGACATTTGACTGTGACAGGTACATTTGTATTGGCAGCAATTAATGAAATAGCCTCTGCAACAAACTTTCCTTGTAAACATTATAGTTCGACATCAGTGCCTATTGATTAAGAAAATTTACAAATTAAATCTGTTTGCACATCAAGTTTGAATGATGTTCTAACCTTTGGATCAAGCATAAGACGTACGCCAAAGCATCCACGTCCAGCTACTCTAGGACTTGGGCATCCACAGCTGGTATATGTCAAAAATAAAATAATGGATCTGTCAGGCATTAATATAAAAATGAATCATTAGGAATTAAGGTTTTATGAAAATAAACATACTTGAAGTTGATCTCATCATAGCAATAACGATTGGCAAGTTCAGTTGCTTTAGCCAAATTATCTAAGTTACTTCCACCAATTTGAAGCACAATAGGATGTTGATCTGGAGCATACGCCAAGAATCTGTCCTGAGCAAAATAGACAAGAACCAATGGGTTTTCAGCGACTAATTATTCAGAAATGGTTCCACCCCATCAATTAGTGCATTTGTGAACACACATATACCTACTGCAATGAGATATTAACAGATATAAATAAACCCAAAGGTGAAGAACAACTTGTTTCTCACTCAACAACTGCACTCTGAATTTTTTAAGTAAAGAGAGTTTGTTTCTAAACATTTTCAAAATAATATGAAACAATAGCACATAAATAGAAAGACAGGGAACTAAATAAGAATGACAGAAACATCCCTATATATCTAACAAACTTTGAAATAAAAAAAAAAAAACTCAGTAGTAACTAGTTATTCAACATATTTTACCGCAGACAACTATGAGCACAATAATCTTTGTGTTAGAAATATAAAGCTATAGTCTCTACTAATCAGTTTAGGCTTTTAGGAGGCTTCGGCATATGATATTGTATGATATGATATAACTGGACCATGCAGTATCCAAGCTTCAAGTCTAAAGGATTCTTTCATTAAATGTGTGTTAAAGATATAACGACTTAAATAGGAGAGATAGAATAGAACTGAACCAGAATATATCCACATAATAATGTGCATAAGCACTGATGTCCACATTACTAACAATAAATAAGCCATCACTAACAATACTGTGTTACTAAAAATAATACTGTGCATAATGACTGATGTCTACATTAGCAGAATCGGTCCTCGACAAATTGCAAACATGAAAGTTGTTATTCATACACCATTCCTCCCAAGTTTTTTAACCCTTTTCTTTTAACAAGCAGAAATATGATTACTAACTTACCAGATTTCCCTTTTGATAAACAATTGTTTCAGCAGCAAGCATCTCCGTGTAGAGCCAAGTGTGTTTCGACAACAGACGTGCCAGCGTCCGGTAGTGATGATCTGTCCAGTCCATCATTGGGGCCACACTGAAAATTCAAGCAAACAATAAACCAGATTGATAAAATATCATTATAAAGCATGCAGAGAGAAGAGATAAACAGCCATCCCACCTAAACAAAGGAGGAAAATAGTCGTTCGCAACCATCACAGCTGTACCAAGTGATTTTTCCTTCTGAGCAAAAGCAGAAAACAACCCTAATCAGCACAGATTCCTCAAGGATTTACCCAACAATGATATAAGAGCTTATATGCGAGTACATATTACAACACATAGCGAACGAATAGAAATGGTAATTTACTCAATGATATTATCACTTCACAACAATAAACACTTCGGTAAAAGAAATTTTTTTTTTTTTTTTTTCAAATCATGGGTACAGGATAGAATTTCTAATAGACAAATAATTTAAAATGGTAAACTACAATGGTAACAATTATGAATCAAGCGAAGGCGATTTTGAACCAAAATTTCTTTTGGGGTGGTGGAGAATGTGAAATAAGAGGAATAAGGACGAAAAATGATGGAAGCAGTGGTCGCAGAATCCGGAGGCAAATTACTCTCTATTCTCCGCAACCGCTGGAAATCCGGAAGTTCGTTTGCTGTGCCCCCATTTTACTCCTTTCTGCTTTCGGCGACCCCACAAATTGCTTCCTACACCCCCCAAACCTTCGATAATATCTGCCATATATATTTTTTGTTTATAACAAGAGAGGTCTAAAGGATTGGAATAATTAAAAATAAATATTTATAAGGATCTAGGAAAAAGGAGTTTTTCACTAATTTCCAAAGTGAATAATTTTGATTTATTTTATAATTTTTATCCCACTATCTGGTACCAGAAAGAAATGAAGAGTATTGAAAAAAAAAAAAAAATTCCTATAAATAAAGAACCCATTACCCAAAAGCCCACTATCCGACCCGAATAACATTATCGTTACCTTAACGAAAACATGTGGCAGAGGATAACTACCTCAACAAGCGCACATAAACCTCTGTCTCAAGCACACGTATCACAGACATGGCTACTCTGAGCTTCAACCCCGCCAGAATAAGAACCCCAACTTTCAAACATTCAAAACTCACCTCTCCATCGAAACCCATCACGATCCCATGCACCACTGCTCCCTCCCACAACCACCCCAAACTGCTCCACTTTCGAACCCATTCGGTGTCGGAGAGCACACAGAAAGAAACACGCGAAGCAATTCTCAAAGAAGAAGATGACCCAACTGCGGAACTGAGATACCTTGACCCAGAAACCGATCCTGCCAGCATAACGGAGTGGGAACTTGATTTCTGCTCCAGGCCCATTCTCGACGCCAGAGGGAAGAAGATTTGGGAGCTGGTTGTGTGCGACAAAACGCTGTCGTTGCAGTACACCAAGTATTTTCCAAACAATGTCATTAACAGCATTACCTTAAAGGATGGTATTGTTGCAGTTAGTGATGAATTGGGTGTCCCTTTACCCAAAAACATTCGCTTCTTTAGGTAATTCATGAGTGAGTGGTGTTGTATTGTTGGGGTCTGTTTATTTGTAGGAAACTTCTCCAGAAACACTTTCTTGACCGAAAAATATAAAAATATAAAATTAGTTTCTAATATGCTAAAATCAGCTTATTCATGAATTAAAAAACAGATTTTTGAGAAGTTAATAAGAAATAACTTTACAAATAATCTCTTATAATTTTAGCTTATGAAGCAACTGTTTTCCTTTTGATTTTTCTCTCCACAAGTGTTTATGAAGATGATTCTCCAAACAGAAGTTGGAGTGTGGAATGTTGATTTTAGTGTTTTGTTGCTTTGCAGGTCGCAGATGCAGACAATTATTACAAATGCATGTAACGAGCTTCGCATAAGGCCTATTCCTAGTAAACGGGTATCTATAGAGAAATTACTTTGTGTTTGAGATCATGTTCGAGATCTTGGCTAATCTTATTTACATGGCATGTAGTCAAGTTTCATTAACTTTCTTTCTGTAAATTGAAAGCATTGGTTACGAGTCATATGAAGATTGACGAGGATTATAAACATGTGGTGGTCACTATATGCGGTTTCAAATTCGACTTTTACTCTGGTGGCTGTGAATGAAATTTCTTTGCTTAGGATCTTCACTTGGTTTGGTTTGATGATGAGACCTTATTTTGCAATGAACCTGTCGGCTCTTTCTTATATATTACCTTAACTTGTCTAATAGGTGAAGGAGCTGATAGTAGGTTTCATCTCACGGAATGTGCATATTTTTATTCTAAAAAAATTGTTTATATCCTAATTAAACCGATAATACTATGTGATTTTCTATGTTTAATTTAGTGCTCTTTACTTTATTCGTTGGGGGTCACAGGAATAACTTTCAGACGAGAAGGAATAGATTTATAGTTGGAAATCGAATGGTGAGTGAAATGGAATGGAGAGGAATGGAGTTATTATCTTATTGTTTCGGATATTTTTATGGTGGAATGGGAGGGGAGGAAAAAGAGATCTTAGAGATTGACAATTGGAGGGTAACAGAAATCCAGTGTCTCTAAAATGTTTCGTGATGCTTCTTATTTTCTTCCTACTCCCGTTTGAGATTGACAATTCATTTAAATGGTTCAACATAGCCCAGTAAGGTCTCTGTGCAAGTTTTCTAATATCAGTAGTACCCTTTGGATGCTATATGTGTGGTGAAATGCCTGTTACTTACATGCATAAAATGAGGACAGAGAAATTTCATGGTATACTTAACATCATATATTTGTAATGATTCATTGAGTTGATATATTCTTGTCAGAGGTAAACCGGCATATATTTCATGTGGTTCGTCTGATTTTTTTCAGTGTGTTTCCATAATCCTTTGGTTAGAGGAGCGATATGAGACCATATATACGAGGCATCCTGGATTTCAAGAAGGATCCAAACCTCTTTTGGCACTAGATAATCCTTTCCCCACAGAACTTCCTGACATTCTTTATGGGGAAAGATGGGTTTTTGTCCAATTACCTTACTCAGGTATAGAGACAGAAGATTTCATGCAAAATATGATCAGACTTGCTTAACAAATGATTTCCCTCTCTTTTTATACGCATGATCTCAAGCATATGTTATTTCATTTATCAATCAATAATCGGACTTTGTTAATATAATGGTCTCTTTCCTTTTTATTGAACACAAAATGATTAACAAGTATGTTTAGTACTTTACATTATTCTACTAGGAGATACCTCCCTAACCTTAAATAACTTGTTTTAAAGCTGTTCGAGAGGAGGTGTCGAACTTTGAGAGAGGAGTTTGTGGTTCTGGGCTTGATCTTGATTTGTTGGGTCTTGAAATTGATGACAAGACACTAATCCCAGGACTTGCTGTTGCATCTTCTAATGCTACAGCATTGGCAGGTACAGAACTGCAGATTTAACCTTTTTTTATTTTATATATTTCATCTTTTGTCTCTCACAATAGACTCTTTGTATGCTTCAAATCAATAACAATTTGATACGCTACCGATATATGCTGCACAACAGCATTAAAGTTGTGTTATAATTAACATCTCCATAGGCACTTTCAAAAGAAAATAGAAAGATAAAATTAATTAAGCTTTCCTCATATTTAAATAAATAAATGCACTTCTACTTTTGTAGAAGCCCTCTTCTCTTATCTAGCTTGTCCGAAAGCTAAATGTAGAGAAGCAATTTGATTCATTCTACTTTCTGTTTTCTTCCTCTATATAAGCATTCCCTTTTAGAGTCAGGTATAAGCAAAAATATCAAATTTATGACAAAGTCAGTTAATATAGTTTAATTTTACTAACATTGTTGATAAGTTGAATGTTAACTTTGTTCACCAACTTGTTTCGTCAAGTGATAATTTTGGCTGTCTTGATTATGAAAAGCTTTTTCATGGTGTTTGTGATGTGCCATATCATCAATAATAGCATGCTTTGTATAAATGTAAATATCTTTTATCCAATAAATTTGTTCTCTGAACTCTGAAAACTTTCACCATTTATTGCCACAGCTTTTATAAGTGGATTGGAGGTTTGCGCTGTGGAAGCAGATGCTGCTCGCGGTCGCTTGATTCTTTCTGTTGGAATTTCTACCCGTTACATATATTCCACCTATAAGAAAACTCCCCAGACATCCAGTGAAGCAGAAGCTTGGGAAGCAGCTAAGAAAGCTTGTGGAGGTTTGCATTTCCTTGCAATCCAACCAGACTTGGATTCTGAAGATTGTGCTGGCTTCAATCTGTTACTAGACTTGCCATTTCCACCTGTATAATTGTACAAATGATCATGGTTGAATTGAATCTTCACTCAACAATAATATTATAATAGAGTATATTAGCTTCTTAAAGTTTTTCCCTGACCCCAAAATCATATTCTACTCAAAGGAACCAACTCATTTTTTTCATTTGATATTAATTTCCTATTTTGGTTACATAAGATAAATGAAGTAACAGAAGCAGAGAACTCTGATACTCTACAATGCTTAAAACAGATAAGAATAGACTGTCATATAGTTAATTCTCCTCATACTCCAATACATTCTGTCTAAGATATCTGCACAAAAGTTTTCTTTCCACTGGTGTGGTGTGAAGCAATTCTCCACTCACCAGCCACGGTTTCAAAATAGAAGTGACTACGGATACAAATTACATCGTGCAGACGTGAGTTCGAATTTTTCTGATTTTAAAACTCGAGGACAAAGATAGATAGTACAATCTTCTTTTAACTTAGTCTTCACCGATTTACTTTTAATGTAATATCTAAATTTTAAATTATTAATTTTTTCTAAAGAGTTTTCTTTTCTTTTTTATATTATTTATAAAATAATTTTTTATATTTCACATTCTTTATTTTTTTTATCATTTCTCATTTCTTATAGATACAATTTCTTTTTATCTTGTACGTCAATTTTATAAGTATATAATATTATTTTATTTTTAATTTATTTTTATTAAATTTTATTATATCACATTTTTTAAATTTTATTAATTTTATTTATCATATATTAAATTTTATCTTAATAAAATAATTTTATTTTTTAAAATTAAAAAGTCAATTTTATAAGTATATAATATTATTTTATTTTTAATTTAATTTTATTAAATTTTATTATATCACATTTTTTTTAATTTTATTAATTTTATTTATCATATATTAAATTTTATCTTAATAAAATAATTTTATTTTTAAAGATTAAAAAATTAATAATTAAAATTTTTATTATTTTATACTAATTAAATAAGAATTAACTTATTAAATATTTTTTTAAAATTATATATTTTAAATTTAATAACATTTTAAAATAATAACTTAAAAATAATTAACTTATATATAATATTTGAATATAATATTATAATATATTATAATAATAATATAAGTATTTTATATTAATATAAAAAATATTAAATATTTTAATATATATAGATTGTTTAATATAAATAATAAATTAAAACATATACATGACATAAAATTATAAATAATAATTATAAAATTATAAATATTTATTTACGTATAAAATTATTAAAATTAATTTATTATAAATATTTTTCCAACTCAGATAGGTGAATGCCACGAACAAACCCATAGTATCCGCAAATAAAGAAAAAAAAATGCAAATATTAATCTTATGTGTTT